AACGGCAAAACAATAACAACAACTGCTGCAACAACAACAACAACAACAACAACAACAATAACAACAACTGCAACAACAACAACAACAACAACAACAACATCAACAGCTGCAACAGTAATTTAAACAAAAGACAACAGTGACGACGACAACAACAACAAAAGCAAGCTGAAACTTCAGCACTTACCTTCAGGCTTCCAAGTGTGCAGAAGAAATCAGCCAGAAGTCGATGTGTCAGTCTGTCAGTTGTTGTAGTGGTCAGTGTGTGAACTGGACCTTTGTCACCAACGGTTCTCTGTTTCATGGCTGATGGACTTCTGACTGACAACTTCTCACTTTTATAAGTTGGTTTGAGTTTTGGAGAAGCATATCGCGGAAAATCGGCATAATGGACCTATCTCAAGGGTGGTTCGACGCCGAAGACAAGTAGGCTACCAACAGCCCTCTCCCCTTTCCCTAAATAAACAGACCCCCACCCCCCCCTAAAAAAAACAACAACAACCCCGACCCCCCTTAAAAAACAAACAAACAAAAACAACAACTACAAAAGGAATTTTTAAAAAGACAAACAACAACAACAAAAAACCCAGACAGACAAGAACAAACGAACTAAACAAAGCAAACAAACAAACAAACAAACACACACACATATATACACACACAACACACAGAGAGAGAGAGAGAGAGAGAGAGAGAGAGAGAGACAGACAGACAGACAGACAGACAGACAGACAGACAGACAGACAGACAAAAACAGTCATCCTCTGTAACTGTTGGGACCAAATCACCACAGAGTCCAACAAAGGGACAAGAAACGTTTTTAAACAATGTAACAGTAGATGTTTTACATCCTCATCGATACTACATCATTTGACTAAGAAGCGGGCTGCTTCGGCCCTGTCCCAGAAAAAAAACAGGACGAGGACATTCCCAACAACAACAGCCTTGATGTGTAGACAATTTTGTTTTTAGTTGATTTAGTAGAGGTTTTACGGCGCTCGCAACTGCATAAAGTCATATGAGCGCCAGAAGATTACAAGAGAGTAACAAACATAAAAAAAGAAGAAGGGGAGATAAGGACAATAGATGTTTGATAGGAAAGAAGAAGCAAACCACACCAGAGCACCCGTCAACCACCCCTAATGTTGTACTTCATTACTTTATAATCATTGAAGCCGTAATCGTACCTGTAATTGGTAGATTTTTTTTTCGAACCTATCAACACAATTTAGATCATTTAGGAAGCAGGCTACTTCGGTACGTCTGTTAGGACCAACTCCGGCTGGCTGCGAGGGATACAAGAACCATACAGAAAAACCGTCATACTCGATTTTATAAAAATCCCCACACCTTTTCCTTCCCCATGGGAATCAAACTAAGATCTACCTCATGCGACAAAAAAGCTCCTAACCGCTACACCATGACTTCAACTACCTTCAAGCTAACATAAACTAGAAAAATGTCTTTCCCGCCTAGCCCAGGCTTTGCTCTGGCCAATAATTTCGATTTCAAGCCCACTACCCGAGACGTGCTGATACCAGCACGTCTCAAGCCCAACGTGTGTTTGGCGGCATTGGCTAGCTAGGCCACCTGCATTACCACGGCATCGGAAGAAGAACCACAGAAACACAAAAATAAATCGACAACAACATAAGTTATAAACCATAATGCAAAATATCCAAACAACAACAACAACAACTACAACAACAACAACAACAACAACAACAGCAACAACAATAGCAGTAACAACAACAACAGCAACAACAACAATAGTAAAAACTAGCAACCACAATTCTAATAAAGGGTAAGACTAATTAAATATATGTGTCACGACGCGGCGGATTCAGGCGCTTGTCCATTTTGTGCATTTCCAGTTATTGGTATCAGCTTACAGCTTTTTTCATTCGTCTTGCTTTTGATGAAAGAAATACCCATCTGTCTTGAACAGAAATCGAGACATTTGCGATTGAAGGAGGTGAGGATGGACTGGTTTCAGAGGTAAAATTAGCGAGATGATGGCCGCCAAAGTTCGGTAACTTCCATACATTGAGAGAAAATTTGCAATATTTGTGCTTTTAATCAATGTCTTTCTGTCAACTCCACATCGAAATTATGTTTTAATAGACGTTGAGCCAAAAAAAACAAAAATTCGATAACAATTGCAAAACTGGATGAAACTGTCGACTTCTCAGAATTCATTCTTTTGACGAGCGCCTGATTCCACCACGACTTAACTCATAATTATTAGTAGTTATCAAACCCTCGAAGTAAGAAAAAAATTAACAAAACTAATATTAGCTACTAATCAAAAACAAAACAAAAACTGACTAGCAGAATCCAAAAGAACAACAACAACAACAACAACAACAACAACAACAACAACAACAAATACCATAAAACCTAAACAAGCCCCTGACAAGGCAAATCTGTGAGACATCAAAATGGGCGTAAAACACGGTTTGGTTGGACCTACCTGTACACTCCCAATCTGCGTCCTGGAGAACGAACCGCGTCCCCTTCCTGCTCACCGTCAGTGGACGAGGGTGCTGGACGGAGAGAGAGAAAAATGAACACATGAGGAGAAAGAAAAATAAATAAATAAATAAATATAAATAAATAAATATAAATAAATAAATAGAGA